AGTCTAGTCTATAGTCTAGTCTATAGTCTAGTCTATAGTCTAGTCTATAGTCTAGTCTATAGTCTAGTCTATAGTCTAGTCTATAGTCTAGTCTATAGTCTAGTCATAGTCTAGTCTATAGTCTAGTCTATAGTCTAGTCTAGTCTATAGTCTAGTCTAGTCTATAGTCTAGTCTAGTCTATAGTCTAGTCTATAGTCTAGTCTATAGTCTAGTCTATAGTCTAGTCTAGTCTATAGTCTAGTCTAGTCTATAGTCTAGTCATAGTCTAGTCTATAGTCTATAGTCTAGTCTATAGTCTAGTCTATAGTCTAGTCTATAGTCTAGTCTATAGTCTAGTCTATAGTCTAGTCTATAGTCTAGTCTATAGTCTAGTCTATAGTCTAGTCTATAGTCTAGTCTATAGTCTAGTCTATAGTCTAGTCTATAGTCTAGTCTATAGTCTAGTCTATAGTCTAGTCTATAGTCTAGTCTATAGTCTAGTCTATAGTCTAGTCTATAGTCTAGTCTATAGTCTAGTCTATAGTCTAGTCTATAGTCTAGTCTATAGTCTAGTCTATAGTCTAGTCTATAGTCTAGTCTATAGTCTAGTCTATAGTCTAGTCTATAGTCTAGTCTATAGTCTAGTCTATAGTCTAGTCTATAGTCTAGTCTATAGTCTAGTCTATAGTCTAGTCTATAGTCTAGTCTATAGTCTAGTCTATAGTCTAGTCTATAGTCTAGTCTATAGTCTAGTCTATAGTCTAGTCTATAGTCTAGTCTATAGTCTAGTCTATAGTCTAGTCTATAGTCTAGTCTATAGTCTAGTCTATAGTCTAGTCTATAATCTAGTCTATAGTCTAGTCTATAATCTAGTCTATAGTCTAGTCTATAGTCTAGTCTATAGTCTAGTCTATAGTCTAGTCTATAGTCTAGTCTATAGTCTAGTCTATAGTCTAGTCTATAGTCTAGTCTATAGTCTAGTCTATAGTCTAGTCTATAGTCTAGTCTATAGTCTAGTCTATAGTCTAGTCTAAGTCTAGTCTAGTCTAGTCTATAGTCTAGTCTATAGTCTAGTCTATAGTCTAGTCTATAGTCTAGTCTATAGTCTAGTCATAGTCTAGTCTATAGTCTAGTCTATAGTCTAGTCTATAGTCTAGTCTATAGTCTAGTCTATAGTCTAGTCTATAGTCTAGTCTATAGTCTAGTCTATAGTCTAGTCTATAGTCTAGTCTATAGTCTAGTCTATAGTCTAGTCTATAGTCTAGTCTATAGTCTAGTCTATATTCTAGTCTATAGCCTAGTCTATAGTCTAGTCTATAGTCTAGTCTATAGTCTAATCTATAGTCTAGTCTCTAGTCAGTCTATAGTCTAGTCTCTAGTCAGTCTATAGTCTAGTCAGTCTAGTCTGTGTAGTAAGTACTATTCCCATGCTCGGCCTATTATATAAAGCAAATAACAAAAAAATTATAAGTACTTATTAAAACGTTTTAAAAAAATCAATTTATTATGTAACTACAAACCTACACAATAAATATATTTTATTAATTTAACAATTGTTTTGGTGTGGACACAATTCTGAATAATACTTTGATATCATAAGTAGAAAGCAATGTCTAATTAAGCAAATAACACGTTTCTCGTATTTATACAAAAAGTTAAAATTTTCAAATGTCTAATATTCCGGTTTATTGAAAAGATTTGGGTTCAATTTTTCCCAATTTTCGAAGAGTTCTAGATGTTTATATTCATCCTAATCGCAAGTAATAACATTAATTCCATAAACTATTCATTCACAATAGTGGACTTTTTACAAGATTTTTTACAAAATTCACTCGATCGATTTGACTAAAATTGTCGAACGAATGCATAGACCTACATAGATCTTACTCATAAGGGAAACGAGCTTTTAACTAATTTATTAACCTGTGAAGATTGAAGTTGTTCAATCTATGACACGCTAATGTAAAATTCATAGGTTTTTCAACTGAATTTGAAGCACTTCGGGTTACTAGTTGTGATGAAAATTCCACATCTTTTCCCACACTTTTTTGCTGGGATATGATTTAATTTTATAAACACATGTGTGTTAACTTTTTTATTGCACATTATGGAATGCAATGGGTTTACAAGAACAAAATGGAAGTTGTTTTATAAATAGATTATTATGGATATAATAAAACAAGAAGTTTTAAGTGATACCATATGAAAGAAAAAAAATTTACTACTTGAAAGTTTAAAGAAAATGTACAAGTTTTGTATAGATGTACATATAATGCAAAAATTTACATTCATATGTTATTGTGTGTAGGAATGAAATGAAAAACATTTTAAGAATACGTACTATAGTTTTTACATTGAGAATTTTATGAACACAAATGGTAAAACTAAAATCCCTATAAAAATATTAAGAAATCAAATGTCGATATTAGCGGGGATATAAAGCTCTGTTTAAGAATCTTTAAATTTAAATTAAACTGTAATCACATGCAAAAAGAGTTTTATAATATATAAATAAATTAAATTTTTGGTAAAATGATATATATTTTACCAAAAATTTATGTTTTTAATATTATAATCTTTTGTCCAATTCATAAATATCATAGACTAACAATAAATATGTTGTGTGAATAAAATTTGTTTACTTATTTAGATATGATTCATATGATGTTGAATGCTGCAGAAATGCTGTGGTTGTGGCACACGCACGTACGCCTTTTTTTTGATGACAAAACAACAACAATTATAGCAGCTATTGAAACAACAAAGTGATATAGAAACATAATACTAATTCAACTAAAAAAGAACACCCACGCACAAAATAATATTTATACCCTACAACAGGAATGGAAATGTTAGTACTATTACTTTTTGAAGTGTTGTTGTGTGCCTTTGGTAGCTTAGTAATTAGTGTTCTTGTCTAACCGCTATAGACCAGGATATATTCTTGCTTTTAGTCAAAACAATAGTGCAGTTTAAAGTCCATTCAAAAGTATAGTTTTTAGTCTAGTCTATAGTCCGCAATATAGTCTTGTTTATAGTCCAAACTATACTCTACTGTTTAGAGTTGTTTACAGTTCAGATTATAGTATGGTGTATAGTCCAGAATATAGTCAAGATTATATTCGAGTCTATAATCCAGAGTATAGCTTTGCTTACAATCCAGTCTATAGTCTAGTCTATAATCCAGATTATAATCTAGTAGTAAATATCTAATGATGCTGCTTTTACAATTAGTCCAAGTCCCCATATAAGGTTTCCTTAAGAAAATTAAGTTTTAAACTATATTTTGTATATTACATTGCAAATCTATTAACGACTATAATTTCTAAAGCAGAGGATTTATACAAAACTAGATTGATGGAACAGAAATAAATATGTACACATTTTTATAGTTTTACCGACCATATAAAAATACCAACAGATTGGTTTCTTTTCAAGAATGTATACAGTTTCCCATATAAATTTGAAATGAACCGTTAATTGCAGTTAACATTCCATGAGTAAGAATCTAACTTTTCCTTAAACAAAGAGCATATATAACTAAGTATATATAGACACATTATTTAATATAATTTAAGCTAAAGTAGGTAATTAAAACTTTAGAAATGCACATCCATCAACATCATCAATTATTCTCAATTAGTTCAATACAAACAAATAACTTCAAAACGTACGTATGTATGTAGTTTTGAAAAATGTAATGGAAATGGTGCCTAAGTATTGGATACATATTCATGAATCACTATACATATATACATATGTATGTATAAGACTTATTTGTTAATCGAGAATTAGGGTAATAAAGATGGTTTAATATATGATTGAATGTTTGTTAGTTATATCAAGACATACGATAAGTTTATGTGTATATACATTCAAATGTATGTAAAAAATAATCTGCCTATACATCATTTTATTCGCAGTCAAGTTGTATTTAAAAAAATTATTTAATTGTGGGTTAAATTCCAAAGAATATGTAAATGTCATTAATTGTATTGAGTAATTAAAAAAAATTAAATAATTAAAAGATAAAAACAAGGGCAAGGCCGACCATATGATACCCCACAGCAATGAGCATATTATAAATAAGGATTATTGATTATGTAGGTATTTAAGTTGTTTTTTTACATTAATTCCAAAATATTTTAACAATTTGACAAAAACGTGATTGTCCAATTATATGGAGATTTAATTTGCGCCTATCATCACACATTTTGGAACCTATGTAGCTCTTTCATAAGGCGACTTTATGTGGTCCTAACTAACTAACTATAGTCAAAAATTTCAACTTTCTAACTATTCCGGTTGCAACAGACGGGCGGGAATATCTAGCACTAATAAGGACCGACCGTGTTGCAAACGGAATAAATAATTTTTTAGTTATGTACCAACAACTTTATTTTTGTTAGTAAATAGCTGAAAATACAATTTGCGCTAAAATCATTATTAATTGCCATAATGGATACTTTTTTGGTATTTGATAGGACCTCCAACTAAACTCTCATTTGAATTAAGTTCAATACACCTGCCGTCTCATTATTTTCTTTTGTTTTTACATATTTTGCTTTGCTCCTATTTTTCGTTGTTTGATCCCTACCAATAAAAACTATTTGTTGTATTATACAATTGGGGGTTGTTGTTTTTGAGTTCCGATGGAGGTATACTTGTTTGTAGTTTTTTATTATTATTATTGTTGTTGTGTTGAAGTTGTTGTGTCTTTGGCTATAACAAAATGGCAACACTTTATTATTGACATTAATTTCATTTGTTATTGTTGGCTTTTAAATGTATTGTTGTAGACGACGTTTCTCCTCGCTGCTACATTTTGTTTTGTATATATTGAGAGTGTAGTATAGTGGAAATGAAAGAATACAAAAAAAGGGGGGTTATGGACAAAATGACGTCATCTGACAATTAAACCTAACCCCAAAATAAATACACACAACTAAAGCGAAAAAAGTTTTTTCCTTTATACAAATTTATGTTTTTAATAAAGATGAATTAAAAAAGAAAAACTTACCGCAATAGAAAGGCAATTTTCTTCGCTGCTATTAGGAAATTTAACAACAAACTTTGAACCGGCTTTTTCTTCGCTATCGTTTAGTGGACGAAAACGACAGACGACTTTAATACTATCCTCTGCTGGTATTTCACGTTCAGCAGACATTTTGTTAAGATAATTTTTTCAATTATATTTCACAATTTTCAAAATTAAGCACAACTAAGCACCAAATGTATAAATTTTAGTTAATAATTTTAAGTAAAATGCAGTATATTGTTTCGATTTACTCTTGCCAAATGTAGTTATGCATAAAAAACAGCAGCAGAGCCCAAATTTATTATCTTTTTTTGCACAATATTGGAGTCAACGTAAAAGCAAGACGAAGAGTTTTCACGAACACAAAGGTAATTCTTCGTTCGTATTTTTTTTTCGATAACTCCTACCGAAAAAATTGTTGCAACTATTTTTTAATATTATTTTCTTTTTCTTTAATATAATTATTTTATTAAAATTATAACACGTTTTTCAATTTATTTCAAGAAAATGATGTATAATTTTTTCTTAAACGCATTAATCAATTGGAAAATCGTTTTGGGAATGGCCTGTCATGCAGTAAGAAAAATTGCTCATCATTTGCACACACTCTCACACATATACACTCACTCACGCACACCTATTCATATTTAATATGCGAAAAAAATTTGCTGAATAGAAAATCTCTTTTTTAATTTTCTATGAAATTAAAAGAGATTTTATTTATTTGCAACAATTAAATAAGTGTTTACAATTTGTTGGTATTAGGAAAATTTTATAAATTTTTTAATTATTTATTTTTCTTAAAAAATATAAAAATTTTCACTATGACTCGTCCCAATGACAACCGATTGTGAGTCAGAGCCCTGCGCCGACAAATATTAACGGCGGCGGCGGCTGACACTAAAAATATCGGCGGCGGCTTAAAATCGACTGTAAGCCGGCTAAGTATCAAATACGCTTAATTTCCAAAGATTTTATATAAAAACGGAATCCGAGAGATAAAAAAGTGGGATTTTGTATATAATTTATAACAATAAAATAGAGCAAGCACAAAAGTTGTGTGAGAAATTATGCAGGGATGGAAAAAAATAAAAAAATTTAAAAATTTAACTGTCTATAAAAGATACAAAAACAGTTTAAAGCTTATCGTCGTTCATTTTAAAAATAAGCGGACATATGTCTGGTACTTTTTTCAAATGTCGGCTGCTCAAACGGTAAGTTTTTTGATTGTGTTAGTAAAAAAACTCTCACCGCATATATACATGTGAGTTTTTTCACTAACTCAGTCAAAAAACTTACCGTTTGAGTAAAACAAATTTTGATGTGTGGCCGTGTCGCTTTATAACTTGACGAAAAAATAAAAATATGAATTTAGTAAATTTTGGATATTCGAACGTTTAAGGGGTGAAAATTGTACCGATTTTTGGTACTTTTTTCATAGAACATTGTTTTTGGTTTATTAACTTATACATATGAACAAAGTATATTAATAAAGTAGCGACATCTCTTGTTGTACAACAACATCTACAACAACCACATGTATTTTGTTTTTGGAATAATTTAAGATTGTGTCAAAATAAATTTTCCTTGAACAACAATGTGAACAAAACATAAATAAATAATATAATATAATATACTTTTAAGTTAAAAATTAATTTACTTTGCATATGAATACATAATAACGGGCTCCCAATACGATGTTGCAACTAGAATTTTTATTTCGTTAATGGGGAGAAAAAAAGTACCAAAAGGGGTAAAAGCGAGAAATTTGATTTTATTCAAACATAATGATCCAATTTATATACAATTTTTAGATTTAGAAACACTAAATATGCTAATGGGGTGTTATTTGGAACACCGGTACCAAGTGATATTTTTTGATACTTTTCTCCAACTGGTACTTTTTGAGTTTTCTATGATATTGAAATCGAAACATGAAATTAATAATAAAGGGATTTTTCGGTACTCGTTTCTTTAAAATTAAATCTAGAAACATGAAATTAAGCATGTAGAGCCCGGAGTAAATTAGAATCTATAAAAGGGGACTTATTGGTACTTTATCGTAATTCGACTTCAAAAGGTACTTTTTGTGTTTTTTATAATATTGATCCTAGAAACATGAACTCAAGCATGTGGAGCCCGGAGTAGGTGAGAACATATAAAAGAGTAGTTTTTGGTACATTTTCGTTCTTCAAAAGGTACCTTTTGTGATTTTTATAATATTGATCCTAGAAACATGAAATCAATCATGTGGAGCCCGGAGTAATTGAGAACATATAAAAGGAGACTTTTTCGTACTTTTTCGTTCTTCAAAAGGTACTTTTTGAATTTTCTATAATATTAAACCTAAAAACATGAAATTAAGCATGTAGATCCCGGAGTAAGTGAAAACATATAAAATGGAACTTTTTAGAACTTTTTCGTTTTTCAAAAGATACTTTTTGAATTTTCTATGATAATGAACCTAGAAACATAAAATTAAGCATGTAGAGCCAGCAGTAAATGATAACCTATAAAAGGGGACTTTTTGATACATTTTTGTTTTATAACTGGTACTTTTTGAGTTTATTATATTATTTTATTGAACTTAGGATCATGAAATTAAATGAGAACATATAAAATGGAACCTTTTGGTACTTTTTCGTTCTTCAACTGGTACTTTTTGAGTTTTCTATTTTAATGATCCTAGACACATAAAACTAAGCAGCCAAGGACTTGATTGAAGGAAAATTTAAAATGGAGTATTTTCTGGAACTTTTTCGTTCTTTAACTGGTACTTTTTGAATTTTCTATAATATTAAACTTATTAATATGAAAGTAAATAAAAGAGGTATTTTAGTAATTTTTCGTACTTCAACTGGTACATTTTCAGTTTTCTAAAATATTGCATATATAAACATTAAATTAAACACTCAGTGTCCTGATTGAACGAAAATTTTGAGGAGACTTTCTAGTCCTTTTTTGTTATTTTACTAATACTTTTCGCATTTTCTATTATATTTAACCTAAAAACATAAAATTGGATACGCAGCTTCCTGATTGTATAAAAATTTGTATGAGAGGAATTTCTGGTTGAAAATTAAACATGCATTATCCTGATTAAATGAAAATGTATAAAAAGTCATTGTCTGGTATTTTTTCGTTCTTCAACTGCATATACATCGAACGTTGAGCAAAGTTTTACAGCGGCCAAATTTCAATGAGCGGCTTGTTATAAGATAAATGAAAACTTGCTTAAATGAAAACAAATTAATTTTATATTGTAAAATTCCATAAATTTATCGAAGTGTTCTGTAAATTATACAAAATTTTTAAGCCGTATTAAGCTGAAAACTTTCGGCAACGGCGGTTTTGACATTTTGTTCGGCGGATAGGCTTAGTCAGCTTAGAGCCGAATCGGCGCTGGTCTCTGTTGTGAGTAGACGAGAATCAGAAGCCCAAGTCGTTGCAAAATTCTCGACGGCGTTTACAGAAAACAAATAATTCGGCGGTGGCTTAAAAATGGCTAAAGCCAGTAAAAAATTACACTGTCTTTAATTTTAATTAAAATTTGCAAGAGACATGGAATAGTTTAGAGTTTGATTGCAAGATATTTTATTCTTATATCTATATTGATCTCTGCGAAAAACAATGCCGAAGGATATATTTAAGAAGTACCAACGGCTACGTCAAGCCGGCTCTGAGACACACTGTGTTGATAATCAGAAGAAAATCGAGCGATTTTTCTATTAGTTTTAAATTTAATTTAAATGTTTGAAATCGGCTTAAGTTATATCTAATCGCCATACAACCTCTTGTAGACTTAAAATTATATTATATGCACCTTTAAAAAATCGGCGTAAGTTGTGGAGACATATGTTTACAATGTACATACATATCTTACAGCCTAAAAAAAAACTTCAAGAGCAAAATCTGTAGCATTGGGTCCCGTACAATATTCAAATACGTTAATTATAAAATCTTAATTTTTTTATTTACGAAAGAGGGTATGGAATTGTCCATAATTTAGAAACTTAAATTGATAGGTAATCAAATAAAGCATTTGATTTTGTAGTGAATTTTTTCGGTAATAAATTGAATAACTAATTTAATGTTTTAATTTCAATTTCTTTATTCCAATAACCTAGCCTATATAGGCCATAATCGGCTATAAATTTCGACCTATGATAATATTAAGTAATTATTTATCATAAAAATCTATATTTTTTAGCACAAAATATAATTATTAATTTCCGTCTAGAATTTTAACTCACATCTAGCGATTATTATTTAAAAAAAAGTCAGCAACACTGAAGTATCAAAAGAAACGAAAAAGGTGCTGCCATATTATATAAAATAAGGGAAATTATTTGACATAAGTACCCAGCAAAAACTTGGCTAAAATACTATGTACAACAAATTGCCCAGATTAAGACTGATTAATTTAGTGCCAGATTACATAAGCAACTTTTAAAGGTGCTTTAATGACCACATAGGTACAATGACCTATAATATATTCCCCTATAAATTTGTATAAATTCGCTAAATATTGAGGTTATTAATATTTAGCGTTTTTAGAGCTTTTTCTTAAATCTGGCAAGCTGATTTGTTTACATACAGCTGACAAAAAAATCTGACAGCTCGTTTCGTCTTCCAAAACAAAAGTTGGAATTTTGCTGCACGTGTTGTTTTTATATACCACAAAAATATTTGTCTTTGCTTTTAATTTATAAACGATATTTTAAATAAAAATTTACAAAATGAGTGACGACGAATTAAGCGATGATATGCAGGAGTTAAATGAACTCATTGCTGAATATCGCAGCAAAGAGGAGGAAGAGGAGAAAGAAGAACAGCAGCAAAAATCGCCTGAAGAAGACGACAACACAAAAACAAGTGAACAAAATGACGTTGACGTTAAAAGTATTGGAGTTCCCATGGATAAAGTTATATTTGGCGATAAAACTAAGCTCATAAAGAATCTGGAAAAGGCTGTTACAAAAGTTTCCAAACATAAAGGGGATACGCAAAAAGAAACTGATATTGAAGGCAGTGATGGTGAGGAAAAAAGTGACACAAATGAAGGCGATAAAAGAAAAGCCGTTAAACGTAAACCTGTGTGGACTGATGCGGACGATGAAGAAATACAATTGGGTGAAGTAAAAAGAGAAACAAAACGAACCGGTCCATTGGATCATTTAAAAATGGATAAGTCCTATAAAGAACATTTAACTTCACGTTTTACCCGCATTGTCAACCAACCTAAATGGGCCTCTTTGGATGAAAAAGAGAAGCAGGATAGCGGTGATGAAGACGATGATTTGTTACGCACTGTTGGTTTTCTTAATAAACCAGCAGAAAGTATTTTAACCCCTGGACATCTGAATATGAAACGAATGAAGGATTTAAATCGTGCTACCTATGGGGAAGGGGTTATCACTAGCATACAATTTCACCCCACTAGTACGGCTGCTTTGGTAACGGGCAATCGTGGTATAGCCACTATTTATGCCATAGATGGCACCCAAAACGATAAACTACACAATATACACTTCCCCAACTTTCCCATACGTTGTGCCAGACTGTTGCCCTGTGGTACTAAGGCCGTTTTTGGATCAGTTACACGGCATGCCTACTTGTACGATTTAATGAGTGCTAAAGAGACCTGCTTCAGATGGAGTCAGGATTTTGGAAATTTAAGCAATTTCCAGATTTCGCCTTGTGGACGTTATCTGGTAGCCGCTGGTATTTGTGGGGAGATACATATTTACGAAGCAAAAACATTTGAACTTATACGCACCTTAAAACAAAATGATCAAGTAGCATCGTTGTGCTTCACCGGCGACTCGCAGAGACTTATTGTGAGCGGTAAATCATCAAATATTAAT